CCTACTCCGGTGAGCACCTCCAACTGTATGCCGCGCTCAACAAAAAGGCAAGAAGGCCTCTTTGCTGTGCAAACACTTTTGCTGCTGACACGCCAACCGTCCCACCGAACTCACAGTGTATGTATACTATCTCCCATCGCCTCGCCGCAGACACCGGCGCGCTCCTTCTGATACGCCTCGCGCCGGGCGCCAGCTTGGTTTCGCCGCGCGTACCTTCTCTCACATATTTCTAGACTCAACTGATATCCGCCTTTTGTTCTGTACTCTACTTTTCTCCGGTGTCTGAAGTACTCTTGAGCTGTTTTACAAATTCTTCGTCTGACTCCGCCCACCTCGGAGCAGGCTCCGCCCAGAATGTTTTTGCCCCGCGCACTCTTCACAGACGACCCCCTGCTGACCTTAATCCACTGTTTCCGGTGTCTGATGTGTTCTGGAACCGTTCTGGAGAGTTTTTGTCTGGCTCCGCCCACCTCGAAACAGGCTCCGTCCCCAATTTTTGTGCCCCACAATCCTCACTGGCGACCCTCTGCTGACCTTGATCCACTTTTTCCGGTCTTCGGAGTGCTCTGGGAGAGTTTTGGAGAAATTTTGTTTGGCTCCGCCCAACTCGGGCTGGCCCCGCCCACATCGTAATACCGACACATTTTCTTAATCGACGACCCCCTTGCTGACCTGATTCACTTTATTCCGGTCTGGATTGCTCTTAATCCGTTTTAGCATACCTTTTTGTCTGCCCACCCCAGCCTCGGAGCAGGCTCCGCCCAAAAATGTTTTTGCCCCCGCAATCCTCACTGCGACCCTCTGACTTGACCTCCGACCACTTTTCCCGGTCCTTCGGAGTGCTTCTGGAGATTTTTGAGATTTTTTGTTTGGCTCCGCCCAACTCGGGCTGGCCCCGCCCACAACATGTATACCCCACATTTCTTAATCGGCGACCCCTTGCTGACCTGAATTCACTTTTTTCCGGTGTCTGATGTGTTCTGGAACCGTTTTACAGACCTTTTTTGTCTGGCTCCGCCCACCTCGAAGCAGGCTCCGCCCACAACGTTTTTGCCCTGACGATCCGGTCCTCTACCTTCGACCTCCGCTGACCTTAATCTCAACTTTCCGGTCTTCGGGGTGCTCTGGAGAGTTGGCAAATTTTTGTCTGCTCACCCACTCTCGGCTGGCCCCACCTCCCTAATTTTTTCGCTGCCACACAATTCTCACCTTGTGACACATACGCGCCATTAAAATTCAAGTTTATTCCGTCTTGCGAAGCTCTGGGTTTTACAGACCCTTTTGTCTGGCTCCGCCCACCTCGGAGCAGGTCCGCCCACAATGTTTTTGCCCCACAGTCCTCACCGGCGAACCTTTGCCGACCTTGACGCACGTTTTTCCGGTCTTTGCAGTGCTCTGGAACCGAGCTACAAACTTTTAAAGTGAGTATCCTGCGGTTTAGGGCAAGCTCCGCCCACTGTGGGCGGATCTCAACACACTTTGGGCATGCCCAATACTCGCCAGATATTTACATTCTGCACTGAGCTTTTTGCGGCTTCTGAACACTCTCGCGAACCGAGTTACTGAGTTTTATGCGAAGCACCGCCCACCTTGAGTACGCCCCGCCCATTTTGGATGTGTCTGCCATATTTAGTCTGGCGACTCCTTACTAACCTTATTCCCTTGTTTCACCATCTTAGGCTGCTCCGGAAGCGAATTATGAACATTTTTCTGTGAAACCCAAAATTTCAGTGAGTGCCCCGCCCACAGTGGGCGGGGCTTCGCATAGGTCAAGTGTGCTTTTTATTTCTTGTCCCATGCTCTACCCATCCCCACCTTGACCCGACCTCTCCAAGTCGTTCTTCAGGTCGAACCGAATTTCCGGACAGACAAACTTACAAACAAACAAACAAACAAACTTACAAACAAACAGACGAAGCGAATTATATATGGGGTGATGGGGTGATGTATGTCCGTCCGCAAAGTTTGCAAGCACGGGTTTGAGTTATCGGGAGGGGAAAACGACCGCTGGACAAACCGGTAACCGATTGGTGCGGATGTATCAATCAGCAATGTTTTGATTGTGATAACAGCCTCCGCTATATAAGACAACCATTCGGTACACTCCGAGCCATTGCACGAGCTGCTGGCGTGGCAGCTGGACGTGTGCTCGTGCGGGGCAGGGTGAGGTGAAGCCAAGGGGGGGAGGGGGTGGGCACGGAGTGACCCCTACTTTCCCCTCCTTTCTTCCCCTGCACGTGCTCAGAGGGACCATGTGCAAGTGAAGGAAGCACGGGGAGAGGGTACGGTGAAGTGGCGGGGAGGGGGGCGTAGCGCACGCTTGAGTAGGATAATAGCTGGAGAGGAGGATAAAACCACTAACAAACTGCCAAAGAGCCTAACTTAATGATATTCTGTACGCTCACCTCGAATGGATGATAAAATGAGGCTGGAAATTATAGCCAAAAGCTATTCCGGCAGAATTCACTCACAGGCAAGGCGCACAGACGCGACGTGCCGCACGACCACGTCGCGTCTGTGCGTCTATGCCTAACTATAGTTGAACGCGCGCTTTCGTCCGCTCTCACATTCGTTGTTCACTACCCTTGGCTGCGTACATTCGGGTTTGCCAACGTGGCCACTGCAGGCCATAGTATCAACGTAAATCAGACGCAACAGGGCACCCAGCTATCGCAGCCAAGGCACGTCCTGCCGTTGGAGGAAAGTTTTGTAAAACATGACCCCCTCACCCCACGAAAACTTCACCTCTGGTACGGCCGCCTTTACTCACCTTCCATCCCACTTTGGATCTTCCTAAATTTTCCCAATTTGCTCCCACGTTTCTGGAGATTTTTTTTCCAAAAAAATAACTACCAAAAACGGAAGGGACGATGGGGGCAAAGCGCGCATAAAACGGAAAAAAAAACCGAGAAAAAGCATTGGCCGAAAACATTTCCAGGGACAAATACGACCCTTTCTCCTCTCCCCTCCCTCCAGCGATCAAGTACGACACTCTTCGTGGAGGTTCTCAACGTATGACGTGCTCTGATCAGCTTCATATCCGCGCACATTAGACCACGTTCATCAATTCCACAGCTGCGAACTTGGCCCCCGCGAATGACGAGATAAATCCTTCAAGCAAGGGTACAGCGTATTTTTTAAAGATAGTGCAGTACACGTACGCCAGAAAGCTTACGAATTTCACCAGTAACAGAAAGTTTCCACTTATAGACTGATCAGCCGGATCGCCCGGCTGACGCCGAGCTCTCCTCCTTCTCTTTAGCTCGGCTTCGCCGAGCTGGCCTGGCTTCGCCAGGCGCGCTCCATAATGGAAAACGGAACTCTTTCAATCACTGGGCTGCTCATACGGCGCTGTAGTGGTCGAATCATAACAGATAGAGCAACCCTGCGGATCCTGCACTCCTTAGCACACGCTTATATTTGCGGTCCGCGCCATACGCCCATACAATATCTATAGATATGGATACAAAGGGGTATGTGACAAGAGGATCGTAATTTGCCGCGCTGCTGGGCGTCGCGTGCGACGTCCCGCCCGCAAAGGACGATGGTTTCAGGCAGTAGATGGCGACAACATGCAATTAAGGACCGAAAACAGTAATGAGTGTCTACGATGACGGGGTCTACATGAAGTCCGGTGCTCATTCGACAGGTTAAAACGAGTTATGAAAACGCCGCGCCCATCGCCGCGCGTGGCGGTGCGGCAAATTACGATCCTCTTTACCGTCTCCCGATACAAAGTTCGGCCGATCAGTACAGCTCAATATGAACCGCTCAGTAGAACAGCGAATTCCGTTTCATTACCTGCACCGAAATGCCTACCGATGAACGCTCCCTTTTCAATTACCATGCAATCCGCTCGCTGAAGTATGAATACTTGTAGGTACTAAATTCCTTAATAATCGTTCAGCTACTGAACTTATAAAGTGGCACATTATTTAGGTTTCGGGTTCTCGTCGAACTTTTCTGAGTTTCCCGTTCCAGGCGAACTACCCTCCCACCCCCCCCCACATCATTAAAGGCTTCAGCATTTGAATGAACAACGGCAACGCTCCTTATCAGCATCTATTAGGCTGCGTTTATACTTTGCGGCAGCGTAGCGTAGCGTAGCGCTTCCAGCGTACGCCAGCGGCAGTGCCGAAGAGAGGATGCATATCGATCTAGCTTCACCAGCGTCACCAGCGTTTCTCCAGCGTTTCACCAGCGTTTTGCTAGCGTTTGCAGCGGCAGGGGAGTAGAGACTATGGGAGAGCTGGAGGGTACAAAACACATCGATTGCGCGTCTCTCACTCGCCCTTAGTCTCTACAATGCACATCGCTTCTGCGTCTCCGACGGCCACATAGTCTCTACAATGCACATCGCTTCTGCGTCTCCGACGGCCACATAGTCTCTACAATGCACATCGCTTCTGCGTCTCCGACGGCCACATAGTCTCTACAATGCACATCGCTTCTGCGTCTCCGACGGCCACATAGTCTCTACAATGCA